ATCACGCTAGGACAGGGGTCTCCAACCTTGGCAACTTTAAGCAAAGCTGGCTGAGGAACTTTGGGAGTTGAAGTCCACAAGTCTTAAAGTTGCCAAGGTTGGAGACCCCTGCTCTAGGAGACCATGAATTCTAGTCCCACCTAGACATGAAAGCCGGCTTTTGGCCAATCACTAGGAGGTGATGAGTTCTAGTCCCATCTTAGACACGAAAGCTGGCTGGGTGACTTTTGGCCACTCTCTCTCTCTCACTTCAACCCACCTCACAGGGTGGTGGTCATTGAGAAAAATAGGAGGAAGGAGGTGGTACATTCACCCCCTTGAGTTATTTATAAAACGAATAAAGACAGGATAAAAATAACATAAATAAATGCTCAAAGGAAGCAATCTATATGCAATTTTCTCTTTCTCTTTTTTAGCATTTGAAGCAGCAGCAGGAAGGACTGAGTCACCTGATCAGTATTATAAAAGATGACCTGGAAGACACAAAGCTGATAGAACATGGCTTGAATGAGAGCATTCCGGTTAGAGGGGGCATCTTCAGTTGATCGACTGGTCCTTTCCATTGACTCTATGGGCACAGAAAAAACCTTGTTTTCCTTCACTGAAATTCACCAGGTGGTTCTTTGGACCATAAATCTTAGTGAAGGTTCTGAGAGAGTGCCAGGTATTTGGCACTCTACCCTGAAGGTCAAAAGGGATAAAGGTTCTAGGAAGAAAAACCAACTGCACTTGATTTTAAGGTGGAAGGATACTTCAGAAACCGCTCTGTGATTTAAGCCTGCATTTCTATTATGTTCAACTATGTCTCGGTTTTGTTTCTTGATTTTCCGAACAACACTTCCAGTGTTAAATTATTGGTGGGGAAAATAACACACCTTCTCTGTATGAGAAACAACACAAAACAACTGGTTTAAAGGTGAAATACATCTGCCAATGTTTGGGAAAGAAACACAGGGCAAAGGTGTGTTTCCCCCCCCCCCTTGTGCTTAACAATAACAAAACTCTTATAATTTTATATCAGTTCATCAGAATTTACAGTGTTACTGAAAGGTAATGAAATCTGCTTTCTTTCTGTTATTTATCCATATGCTCTCTGTAGTGGATGACTTGTTTTCAAGATTACTACAGATGGAAACTGGAGTCTTAATCTTGCCCAATCACTAATTAATCTGTTGGCCTAAATATCCTATGAGATTTGGAGCTACCAACATCCCTATCCACCACCTTCTGCTCTCAAGTAATACAACAGAAACCTGTATTTGAAGCAGTGCCTGTAGCTTTAACCCAGGACTCTCCAAACCTGGCAACTTTAAGACTTATGGACTTTAACTCCCAGAATTCCTTAGGCAGCCATGCCTCTCTGGGAGTTGAAGTCCACAAATCTTATTTGGAGACACACAATCCCCCCCCTCCCACCTTTTAACATCCTTCTCCTAAGGTATGGCACAGTGGAGGAATTGTGCCCTCTGTGTTATATTTCCTAAGGTGAAAATGAAATCCTTACAGTAATTGCGTGCGAAAAGTTTTTTTTTTTAAGTATTGCTTTACTTTACCTAGTGCCGACCTTTCAGATTTCTTGGCAGAATGAAACAGCAGCTCCTGTTATAAGTGTTTTTCCATTTGTTATGTTATTAATTGCACCAGGGAGAATAAAGGCAGACTGTCAAACTGGACTGTGCTTACAAGTAGTTGGCTGCACTAAGTCATCTTGGCATCACTCCAAAATGCAATTGATCCATATCCAACTGGAATGAAAAACTGTATTTTTGAAATTTAGATGAGCAATTATGGTTAGAACCCAGTTTCTACCATTCTATGTTATTGCCTCTGCACAATGGTTTTGAAAAATTAAATAACTGTATACTATAGTAGTTTTGGAAAAATCTCAAACTGTCTGACAAATCAACATGTAAATGAAACAGACCTGAAACAAAGATACTTTTTGATTTTGGATTAGACATGATTGTGTAAGACTTAATTTTAAACCTTTCTTTTGCTAATGTATTAATCAGCCAAACTTGGCAATGATAACATTTTTTTTTTATTTGACCCACGTTGAAACTAACATAAAGGAAATGTCTGGTCATTGGATACTGTTGATAAAACTTTATTTGTATTATGCTTTAAAATGGAGTAAGACATTAAAAGCAATGTGGCTTTGAGTTTTTTCAAGCACTTTAAAAAAAGCTTCAATGCTTGAAAGTTACTGAGGGGGAAAAAAATTCAGATATTTTTTTTCCTGTTGAATTAAAAGTAAAAATAGCTCCATTTGCAGCAGTAAATAATTCACAATTTGGAGTTAGTTCAGAGGCAGATTTTGGAGTAAAAGATGAGTACAGAATTAGCAACCTTGTTTTGAGGCAGCAGGTTTTACCCTACTAGCCCAGTTCACGGTGGCTTTGATTTTCACTAGGAAGGTGGTTGTTTGACTAGGCGGAATGCCTCAAGGAACTCATTGAAGTCGATTTTCCCATCCTTGTTGAAATCAATGCTGCGGGCCAAATCACGGATGTTTTCATCGGAGATATCAATATTCATATGGGCACTGAACAGCTTCCATATTTGATGGAACTCTTCGAGACAAATAAATCCTGCAGGACGAGAACAAAGCACAATCTTTCTTGGGGTGGGAAGGTCGGAAATAACAGTAATATCACTTCTATGTCTCCCAATTATGTGATTTTTTTTTAAAAAAAGGTCTGCCGCTTTTTAAATGTACTTGATTTGCAAAAAAGAGTCTTGATTCTGAGATTGCAGTGGCCATCTTGACTCGGCACCTGGGGTCATCTTGTTTCTCTGTTTAGGTAAGGAAATGCCTCTGAAACTGTGATTCAAGAATCCCCTGGTTATTTAGTTCCTTATAAAATCAGCAACAGCATTGTTCTGGCCTCTGCCGGTGTATTATAAAATGCTGGGATAGAAGTTAATACTATTGTACCTTCCATGTGCATATAAAACCATAACACTTAGCTTTGTACACAAATGATCACTTTGGCTATTTAAAAAGGAAATTGGCAGATAATAAATGGTTTTTACCTGAACAATCGGTGTCAATGAGGGAGAAGATCGTCTCCAAATTGGATAAATTTCGGTAAATGCTTTCCAGCAAACTCGACTGAAGGCGCTGAAAGAAACAAGCATGCAAAAAACCCTTAATCTGTTTTCAAAACATGGCTAGAATTAGTCAAATAGGCTTAACATAGGGTAAAGATATGACCTTGAAAACAAATTTATGACTTCCGGTTTGCTAGCCTTCGGCGGCAGCAGGGATTTGCAACCGCGCGATCCCTGCTGCGTTCTCCGCCAAGGTTCCCCCGATCCATTTGGATCTGGGGGATATAGCTGCCCCATAGAGGCAGCTGAAGACGGGGGATCCGGCAAGGGGTTTGGGGGTGCCGCAAACCCCCTCCCCAGCCGGCTAAACTCCCTTTTCCCGAGGCGGAGGAACGGCGGTCAGTAATGGCCGCCATGAAGAAAGCTGCAGCCAGGTAAGCAAGTGCAGGAGGGAGAAAGCTGGAGAAAGTGAAAGGTGCTTTTAACCGGGACAAGACAAGATGGGAGAAAGTGATTTGGAACCTTGAAAGCTGTTAAGGATATATTGTTCCTTGTGAGAGCCATAAGCTGCGAATACCCTAAAGGGGAAAGTTTTTTTTTCTTTGTTCTACTCTCCTTCCTAAAGTGACAGCGGGGGAAAAAAAATCTTTTTGGCTGTGAGTGGGAAGGGAGAGTGAAAAAAAAAAATCAGAGTAAAATTTGAAAATAAGGAGAAGATTGCCTAGAATTGCAAAGAGTTTAAAAACTTCCAAAAAATATATTTGAAAAGGATTTGTGATTACTTTAACCTCAGAAAGAAAAAGTGAAGAAGAAGAAGGTATTTAAAAGAAACAGTCTGTTTGGATTGTTTGGTGATTTTGGAACCTTTGGAAATTATTTCTGATTAAATCATCTGGGTGGTTGTTTGGAAAAACTTTTTCTCTACACAATGGCATCACCTGTGGATGGATTGGAACTTATATATCAAAAATATGAAAGAGAAAAACGAGGGGAAGATGGACTTGGCACTATTTTTCAATACTTAGAAATGGCGGTTTATAATTATGCGAAGCAGAATGAGGATGATGGGGACAAAGAAGAAGAAGAAGCCATCTTTGATGAAAAAAGGACTTTGACTGGAGATGGGAAAAAGCAAGAGAAAAAGGAAAAGAGGTCTTTAAGATCTGAAAAAACAGCCCAAAAAGAGAAGAATAAGGTGAAAAAGGGATATTATGTTAAGAAACAACAGAAAGGGGGAAAGCAGAATAAAAGGGAGGTGGAGAGACAAGGGGTTAAAGAGGACAAGGAGAAGAAGAAGCAAGGGAGAAAGGAAGGGATGAGAAGCTCTAATGGTGGGGAGCAGGATATTAAGAAGCAAAAGTTTTTCAGAGATAATGGATAGATCTTATTGTTAATGGGATTCTAGAAAGGTACATAAGATTGCATTTTTATATCTGTATTTAGAAGTAATTATAGAAAATTATAAATAATATGTAGCTTAAAATGTGATAAAATATCTAACATAAATAAGTGAAATTTTTGTTAAGAAGAAGAGAGTACTGTAATGAAATATGATTCAAGATTGTGATGTGGGGGGTAATAATCGTGGAAAGCATAAGTGTTCCCACAAAGGCATAATATTCAATTGAAATGGATAAAATGTTTAAGATATAAATGATTGTTAAAATTAATGATTAGAACATGGTATACTAGCAAAAAAATTTGTGAAATGAGATTTGAAGTAGAAGAAGGAGGAACATTTCAATGAAATATTGAGCTATAATATGTGATGTGGGGGGGGGGGATAATTATGGAAAATAGGGCTCTCATAAAAGTATGTGATTTAATTGAAAAGTAATGAGTTAAACATTTAAGATATGAATGAATATCAATATTAATGAATAGATTTGCATTATTTTTGATAATATAGTATAATTTTAGAATGTACCAGACAGAATCCCAATGTATGTTATGTATTTTATATTAGGTACTATAAATATAAGGGAAAAAGATAAAGGCATCATCTCCATATAGTGTACAGGAGAAGTATTTCTTCTTTTCTTAAAGAAGAAAAATAAATGATTGGCTGGAATAGAACAGACAAAGAATAATAAATATTAGGATATGAATTGAGAGGAGGAAAGAAAAATTGAGAAAATTTAAAGGAGAGGAGAAGTTATATAGAAAATTGAAAATGTTAATAAGATATGAAATGATATGTAAAATGAATATGAAACTGAACTTGTGTCTGTAGCAAGAGTTTTAACCCGGGACTAAGCAACTTTCAGAAAAGAGATTTTTTATGCTTTTATGTTTTGTGTTTATGTGTATTTATGTATTGTTTGTCTTGAAAATAAAACTTGTTTTTTTTAAAAAAAGAAAGAAAACAAATTTATGTTTTGTGAACGTCTATGGAATGATGGTTCTTCAGTCTCCCTGGTTCCCACATTGTCACCAAATTCCATAGTTGGCAAGAAATTTCAGGAAGAGAAGGAGAAAGGGAATAACAGAGTTGCAAGGGGCCTTGGAGGTCTTCTAGTCTAACCCTCTGCTCAAGCAGGAGACTTTATGCCAAGTCAGCTAAATGGCTGTCTTAAAAGCCTCCAGTGATGGAGCACCCACAACTTCTGAAGGCAAGCTATTCCACTGATGGTTCTTCTCACTGTTAGGAAATTTCTCCATAGTTCCAGGTTACTTCTCCCCTTGATCAGTTTCCATCCATTGTTTCTCGTTTTGCCTTCTGGTGCTTTGGAAAATAGGTTGACTCCTCTTCTTTGTGGCAGCCCCTCAAATATCGAAACACTGCTAGCATGTCACCCAGTAGTGGAATTCAAATTTTTTACCACCAATTCAGTGGCCGTGGCTTGGTTGGGTGCGCTTTGTGTGCTTTGCGTGTGCGCAGAGAGTTTATTACTGACGACCTGCAATCCTGCACTCTCCCTGTGTCTTCAACAGCTGATAGCTGCGTAAAGCAGCTGAGCTTCAAAACCAGGAAATAAAGGTCAGAATAGAGCCCGGGAAAGTGGGCCCAGCAGCTGATCATTGGAGCAAACCGGTTGGCTTACAGATGATCCTTGGAGCTACCGGTTCAGCTGAACCGGGCCAAATCGGTAGAATACCACCACTGATGTCACCCCTAATCCTTATTTTCAGTAGACTAGACATATCCAATTCCTGTAATTAATCTTCATGTGTTTTAGCCTCTTGACCCCTGATCATTCTTGTTGCTCTTCTCTGCACTCTTTCTAGAGTCTCAACATCTTTTTTATATTGTGACCAGACCTAGGTGCAGTATTCCAAGTATGGTCTTACTAAGTCTTTATAAAGCAGTACTGATACTTCACACGATCTTGATTTTATCCCTCTGTTAATGCAGCCTAGGGTTGTACTGGCTTTTTTTGGCTTCCGCCACACGCTGCTGGCTCATATTTAAGTGATCGTCCATTAGGACTCCCAAGATCCCACTCACAGTTACTGCTATTAAGCTAAGTTTCACTTCATCTGTATCTGTACGTTTGATTTTCCTTGCCTAAGTGTAGAAAAGGAACGTGACTATTGGTACGTGATGCTGGTTATCTTCATTCCCAGAGACCCTCTTGTCCAGAGGTCCCCAAACTTGGCAAATTTACGACTTCAATGCTGGCTGGAGAATTCTGGGAGTTGAAGTCCACAAGTCTTAAAGTTGCCAAGTTTGGGGACCTCTGCTCTAGTCTAGTGCAATACCTCTTGGGTTGAAGATTTCTCTTCTGTCACGATGTCTTTCAGCCACGTCCTGTAGTCCACTCTTCCATTGGTCAGCTGCAATATCAGATGTGGTCTCAGCATCCGCCATGGCAATCCCAGCTGGAGGACTGACTCGATGGCCTTTGCCCAGTCGTTTACACTGATGAGGCCTGTGAGAACACAAAAATAAAATTGTTTCAGAAGGACTTCGTGAAGGACCAGCCTTATACGTATGGTAGTCCTTGAATTATGACCGTAGTGGATCCTGGGTTTGGTGGCCATTAGGTGAATCGGTGGTTTTTAAGTAGAAGGGTTGTTCAGGGAGTGCGGCAGTCGTAAAGTGAATCGGTGGTTCACTGCGGGCCACAGTTTTGCCAAAAACCAAAAGTAACCCAGTTTTCGGCAAAATTGTTGTAAAATGCAGTCACATGACTGCAGGATGCCTCTGACAGTTGTAAATCTGCCTGGTTACATATTAACAGAGTTAGAAGGGACCTTGTAGGTCATCTAGTCCAACCTCCGGCCCAAGCAGGAAACCCTACACCATTTCTGACAATCTCTTCTTAAAAGCCTCCAGTGATGAAGCTCCCACAACTTCCGAAGGCAACTTCTGTTCCATGGGTTGATTGTTCACTGTCAAAAAAATTCTCCTTATTTCCAGGTTGGATCTCTCCCTGATCATTTTCCATCCATTGTTCCTTGTCTGGCCTTTGGGTGCTTTAGTAAATAGCTTGACCCCTTCCTCCTCTCTGTGGTAGCCCCTCAAATATTGGAAGACTGCTATCATGTCTCCCCTGGTCCTTCTCTTCACTAGACTAGCCATACCCAGTACTGTGGTCTCCCGGCAGCCTGCAGAGACGGCAGCAGAGTTGGACAGTGGGGAAGAAAGGGGACCAGTCCGGGAGTCTGCGGAGGACTCAGACGATGGTCCTGTGTCCGATACAAAAATGGGGCCAGGGCCATCTGGAAGTTATGTGCTGACTCCGGAGCCTCCAGAACCGGACAGCAGCGAGGCAGAGGAACCAGGGGAGCCTATTCCCAGTGTGCCTGTGAGCAGAGCTGCCTGAAAGCAAGAGCAGTTAAGACAAAAGGGGTGACTTGGGAGTAAGGCTTGGAGGTGATTGCCCTTCCTATAAGATATAAAGGAAGTGCAAAGGGACAGGAACCTTTGCAGGAAGCAACATTGTTCACTCTGGTCGGTTTGGAACCTGGTGAATTTGTGCTCCATTTGGTTTTGTAAGACTAATTGGGACTTTAGTCGTTGGCAGCACTTCAAGTAAAGATAAAGGTGCATTCTTATCAGACTTCTCCGGAAGGACTTTGGCAGACTTCCATGGGATTATTTATAACTGGTTGAGACTCATTACGGGCTGTGAATGACGATAATTCACAGCCGTTGAACTAAAATGAAAGGGGTTTTGGATTTAACGTGTGTTTGTTGGTGTCTCAGGAAGCCTTGGTTAGAACACCCGGTTCCTGCAACCGTCCATCATATGTTTTAGCCTCCAGTCCCCTAATCATCCTGGTTGCTCTTCTCTGCACTTTTTCTATAGTCTCAACATCTTTTTTTATAGTGTGGTAACCAAAACTAGATGCAGTATTGGTATGGTTACAAAGCACCTAAAGTGACCATCAAAGCTTTGAATCTGGGTCATAAGTACCCCCCCAGGTAAGTCTCTTGGAATTTTAAACTGTCGCTAAACAATTGATCCTAATTCAAGGACTACATGTATCTCTCAAAGAAAATAAGCTTCTATCATAGTGCCATCAAAACTCTGCCACATTTTTATGGGCAGAAAGCCCATCTCAATAATCTTTTCTTTTTTAAAAATATTTATTTTTTTATTTAAATTATAAGAATACACGATGCAACCGTTCTTGCATTACAATTGTTATACATATATACATTTTACTTCACCATTTACAATCCTCTTGTTTGACACATTGTTTACTAATTATTCTAATCATCATTGCTACTTATGTTCTGACCTTGCCTTCTTCTATGCAACCACTGATAGAATTTATTCCATGTTTCATAGTACTCAGATTCTCCCTTGTTTTTTAATTCTAGGGTTAACCGATTCTGCACAGGCCATAATTTTTGTTATTATCTATTTCTGGTGGTATGCTTTCCTTCTTCCAGTATTGCGCATATATTATTCTAGCCGCCATCAACATATGTACTTATAGATAAATTAAATCTTTCCTATATCTTTCTGGTATCATTCCTAAAAGAAAAAATTTCAGCTTAAATTCTCAACTTTCTGACCACGTTCATTCCCTGTCCAAAAAAAAAAAGTCTCTTGTTTAATCTTACCTGTGTTCCTCTTATCGTAACCCCTGAACGCTGCGATGAGTTCTGACCTGTGAGCAAACAATTGCTCCTTTAAAATTTGGTACGCTGACTCCTCCACTCGGCTGGTCCTGCGAGAAGAAGAGAAATTTCTGCCATGTGAAATCGCAGAACAAAAACATTCAATCTGTGCCCTTTCGGGATGGCTGGCTTTGAGAGACTGATCACAGAACAGAATTGTCCTTTGTTTCCTGGAATAGATCAGCTGGATTGTGGATTTTTTTAACAAAATAAATCCTTTTCCTTCACCTGAATTATCATTTAATTTTCTCCACCGATAGTTCTCGACTTACCGATGGTCACTTAGCTATGATCAAGTCCTAAAAAGGGTCCTTGGTGCTCTCTGAGTTTGGTTGTTTTCTTGCAGACGTTTCATCACCCAAACTAGGTAACATCATCAGTGCTAGAAGGGAATGGATTTGCTCTCCCTTACTAGGCTGGCAGTTCGGCTGTTCGAATCCCTAGCGCCGCGTAACGGAGTGAGCTGCCGTTACTTGTCCCAGCTTCTGCCAACCTAGCAGTTCAAAAGCACGTAAAAAACGCAAGTAGAAAAATAGGGACCACTTTGGTGGGAAGGTAACAGCATTCCGTGCGCCTTTGGCCACCACAGGTGTTAAGAGAATCTGTTCTGACCTAGGTTTCCCCAGAAAGCGCCAAGCAGACTTTTTGTCCTGGCAAAACCCCTTTCATTAAACGAAGGTGAATTTCTTGCATTTACATTCAGCCAAAGGCCTGGCAAACAGTCTTTCAAGGGTGTAATTAGGAGCACAGACCTTATCTAGCTTGGAGAGCTGCTAAGTAAATATGTCCAAACGCAGTGCTGACAAGGAAGGGCTCGGCACATAGTCTCTGCGATGCACAGGCAGATCTTCACACTGCTACAATGAACAAATTGTTTCCTGCAAAAGCCCCCTCTCCTTTTGTTCCTCTTTTAATCCCTGTGGGAGGGGCCATTCACCGTCCACCTATGGCCTTACTCCCACGTCGACTCTTAGTTCGTAATTGTTCTTTTCTTTTGGCAGCTCTGTGCATGCGCAGGCTAAGAACCGGCTCCAGCTGCTTACATTACACAGCTCCCCTGTGTAACACAGTGGTTAAGTGGATCTGGCTTCCCCGTAGACTTTGTTTTGTCAGAATGTGGCAAAAGGGGATCGTACCTCCTTGAGACCATCATAAATATGAGCTAGTTGATCATGTGACCACGGGGATGCTGCAATGGCCATAAGGGTGGGAAATCATCATAAGTCATTTTTCAGTGCCATTGGGATGTCGAACGGTCACTAAACAAACTATTGTAAATTGAGGAGTATCTGTCAACCCTGAAGCTGACCTGGCCGAAGCCATCTTGGAGCTTCAGTGTTGCCACACTGGAGCTGAGGGATAGGGAGGGGGGAAATTTAGATAGATGAGATTTTGTAGCCAAAACAAAACAGAACATAGAATAACAGGGTTGAAAGGGACCTTGGAGGTCATCTAGTCCAACCCCCTGCTCGAGCAAGAGAGTCTATTCCAAATATTAGCCTCTACCTAGGATCGAAATCACAGCCTCCCGATTGTGAGGCGAGAGCTCCATCTCTAGGCCACCAAATACTTTCTCTTGGGAACCAAGGACATTCTCACACCTGGCCTGAGGAGGGAGGAGTGATGTCACCAGGCAACCAGACAGCGTCGTGATTGGACCATGTGACTAATTGTTTGAGGGAAAACATTTACTTTTAATTAGGTGAAAATGGCGGGAACCTTTAGAGTCGGTTTTCACCAGTCTGTGCCAATATGATATATCCAATAAAACTTTTCTTTGAGGAATCCACCCGCATTGGAGTTTTGTTTGCTCTGTACTACATTTCAAGACCAACATATGCCTTGCTGGTTTGTAATCTTTTCAATAGTGGTTGGGCTACAACAACTGGCTGACCTTTGGGTTATGTTCAGTTGGCGGGAGACTCCTTTGGTGGCTTGAAACTGGACAAAATGAGGGATGAGGTCAGGTCCCAGTTTGATGTAGGCGCCCCGGTTGCTGCCTGGTGCATAATAGTTTGAAGCCGAAAATATAGTGATGACCTAGGTAAGACAAAACCGAGCACAACAGATTTAGAGCAGAACACATGTTAAAGTCTCCAAAATCCACATGTTAATCTTTGTTTTAATGCACATTTGTGGGAGCGCGAAGCTCAGTGGTTAAAGACGCTGAGCTTGTCAGCTAGAAAGCTGGCAGCCAGGATTCGAGATGCCACAGGGGGAGCTCCCATTCCTCACCCTCAGCTCCTGTCCACCTAGCAGTTCAAAAGCATGCAAATGCGAGTAGATAAATAGGTACCATTTTGGCGGGAAGATAACAGTGATCCCGTGCCCCTTGGGATATAACAAGAAACTCTGGCAAGAAACTCACCCATTGACTACAGTAGTTGGATCTCATGGTGTCTGCTAGTGAATTACTACCAGAAGAAACGGGGTGGCCTATGGAGCTTTACTGATCTCCATGCTGATGATACAACCCATGTTTTTATTTCTATGTGGTAAAAGTAAAGGTTCCCTTTGCACATATGTGCTAGTAGTTTCAGGCTCTAGGGGGCGATGCTCATCTCCGTTACAAAGCCAAAGAGCCAGCACTGCCCAAAGATGTCTCCCTGGTCATGTGGCCGGTATAACTAAATGCTGAAGACGCATGGAATGCTGTTCCCTTCCCACCAAAGTGGTCCCTGAATGGAGTGGTCCTATGAAACAGATGCTGAGGTCCTAGAAAGAAATGTGTCAGCTGTCCCAGCTTGGTCAGTTAGAAAAGGAAAACTCTAAGGCCCATAATCAGCCAAAAGGTATATGTTATCTAAAGCCAAGCACTTACAGAAGCAGCAAAGCAGTATTTGGTTAACTTCGCCCCGTCTCCTTCCACGCAGCCTCACCTCAGTTTTCAAGAAGTGTCCAATTAGGCCTAGCAAATTGTTTTGGGAAACAGTCCCAGTCTACAGCTGGCATTCCTTTGCCTGTCCTTGGCACCACTTCTTATAGGACAGAGGCTTGAGTCCATTTCCTCATTGTATCCCTTGGCAAACCTCCCTTGCATGCATACCCTCTCCCTCTCCTTCAATAGCAGGTTGCCAACAGCAAGCCAGATGCAGCGTAGCATAATGGCAGCCCTGCCTGACAGAGAAGAGAATCACTGCATGAGCCGCGGTGGCGCAGTGGTTAGAGTGCGGTCCTGCAGGCTACTTCTGCCGACTGCCGTCTGCCTGCAATTTGGCAATTCGAATCTCACCAAACTCAGGTTGACTCAGCCTTCCATCCTTCCGAGGTGGGTAAAATGAAGACCCAGATTGTTAGGGGCAATATGCTGACTCTGTATAAACTGCTTAGAGGGGGCTGTGAAGCACCGTAAAGTGGTATATAAGTCTAAGAGTGCTATTACTATCAAAGATGACAAGCATCCGAAGGCAAAAATCATATGATGGAAAAGCTAAGGGGTCTAGTTATGTTTAGACCAAGCAAAGGAAGGTTTAGGAGAGACAGGATAACTATCTTCCAATACTTAAAGGGGATAGAGCTTCAATTTACTCTGCACCCAAGGGCAGAACAAGAAGCAGTGGGTGGAAGCTTGTCAGAGGCTGATCCAACCTAGAAATAAGGAGGGTTTTCTTGGCGGTAAGAAGAATTAATCAATGGAACAGCTCGTCTCCTGGGGTTGTGGGTGTGCTCCATCTCTGGAGGTTTTCAAGAAAAGATTAGACAACCATTTGTCCAGGATGGTATAAGGAGTCCTTCCTTGGCCAGAGTGTTGGACCAGAAGATCTCCAAGCTCCTTTTCTATGATTCTATGAGTTTATGATTTAGTGATGACTCTATGATTCTGTGATATTGTGATTCTGTGATTGTTTGATTCTTTCATTTTGTAATTCTATGATGGTTTGATTTTGTGATTCTATGATTTTGTGATTCTGTGATTCTGTGATTCTGTGATTCCGTGATTCCGTGATTCTATGTTTGATTTTGTGATTCTATGATTCTATGATTTTGTGATTCTATGATTCCGTGATTCTATGTTTGATTTTGTGATTCTTTCATTTTGTGATTCTGTGATTCTATGATTTTGTGATTCTATTATTTGGTGATTCTGTGATTCTGTGATTGATTGTTTGATTTTGTGATTCTGTTGATTGATTGATTCTGTTATTCTTTCATTTTGTGATTCTGTGATTCTTTCATTTTGTGATTCTGTGGTTCTATGATTTTGTGATTCTATGATTGTTTGATTTGTGATTCTATGACTCTATTCCCCGTGCGCTTTTGCATTCCAGAAGCCTTTGTGGATAGCCTGCATCTCTCCAGCAGCATCCTAGAGGCTGAGCCTACCTTCCGATTGTGATCAACTTCATAGCCCTCTGGCTTGCATTCATGAGAGCGGATGATGAACTGCAGGCGATGCTTCTGCAAAAACATATCCGTCACATCTGGTCCGAAGTAACAGCCTCCACCCCTTTCTTCATTTTCTGTGCATCCAGGTTTAGGATCGGGGTCACTCCATAAAATATCTATAACCTACAAGCAAAGTCACAGTTGCTTTATTTTTAATATTTTGTGCACGAGTCAGGTAGGTAAGTCCACATTCAAAACAAATGTCGGCAAGGAATAGCGTCAACATTTGAAATTCTGGGAGTTTTGAATTTGTATTAGTTTATCAACAGATAAAATGCAAAACTACAAAGAAAAAAAAATGAAAATAATGGAAAAATAGGGGAAAGAAAGGGAAAAAAGAAAAAAAACTAGGATAAAGAGGGGAAAGAAAGAAAAAAGCATTGACTTCCAACTCCTTTTGACACAGTAGAACCAGGTAATTACACACAACCTCAACTTTTTTACTTCTATGTAATAATACCGTGTTTCTCCAACAATACGGCCTCCACCAATAGGAAGGCCCAGCATGATTTCTAGGCATGAGGTGAAATTAAGCCCCACCCCCCAAATTTAAGCCTATTTAAACCATGCATTTCCCTGCCATTTCTCACATCGTTCGTTAGAACTACACGAGGAAAAGAGAAATGGGGGGGAAGGGCAGGGGGGATGGGGAGAAAACTTACCTTTAGGAGTGCCCTGCAGGTAGCCTAGGCTAGAATACCCCGATCTACTACCAATAGAACATCAGCCGATAGAAGCTCCCTGAAGGCAGAGTCCCCAGCCGCTTCGGGGCGAGGCGTGGCTGCCCGTGTCCCCTCACCATTAGGCACTGTCTTTCGGGTGATGGAAGCTTCCCAAATGCAGTCACCAGCCACTTCAATCGGCCGGTAGAAGCGGCCTCGGGGCGAGCACACACACACACACTCCCCTCGCCGCGAGGCCGCTTCTACCGGCCGATCGAAGTGGCTGGTGACTGCCCTTGGGGAGCTTCCATCGCCCGAAAGACAGTGCCTAATGGCGAGGGGACACGGGCAGCCACGCCTTGCCCCAAAGCGGCTGGGGACTCTGCGTTTGGGGAGCTTTCATCGGCCGATAGAAACGGCCTCGTGGAGAGGTACTTGCACATGGGCCGCTCTAGGTGGGGGAGGAAATTAAGTCACCCCAAAAAAGACGGCCTAGCGGTTTTTTGGGGGGTCAAAAAAAAAAAAAGGCCCGGCCTTATTTTGTGAGAAACACGGCACATCCTAACAACAATCCTATCAAATCAGCAAAACTCAAAATTAAAGTTTCATTTTGATCTACCTCGAGCACAGCATCCAAAAGCGGTTCCAAGCAGAAACAAAGTTAATTGCATTCTTTTCTTTAAACAAAGCCATCAGTTTTGCCTTCTCTTCTAATTACATCAAGTTTAGGCAGCCATTCGTCCATTGAGTGAATCAAAGTACCTTTCCATTTTTGTGCACAGAATATTCTTGCCGCCATCTGATTACATAATGTCAAAGTTCTATTATTATTTGTTAGGAATGTAAGTCACCAAACAGTTGGGTTGGAAAATATATAAACCAGGATAGATATTTTAATACTGTCTCTTTAAGGGAATGCTAAAATTGTAATTGGGTGTGGTTCCTCAAACGGCCATAAGATGGAGCCAGAAACCTGGGTTGTTTTGTTCTGTTGTTGCTGAGAGTGTTGCCGTTCCTGCCTTTCCCTATTGACTGTTATTGATCATTGTTATTCTTGGATTTGATGTGAGTCTATTACTGAACTGTTTTTTGATTTGGATTATCCCTGGACTGAAAACTGACTGCTTTAACCGTGAATGACTTTGACTGTTTGTTGAACTTTGCTTAACCGTTTTACTGGAAATAAAAACCTACATTTTACTATACAGTGTATCTGTGTGTTGGTTGTGTGTTATTCTTCACCACTCTCACTACGTCTCCCTGCGTGAGCTCATTCTCCTAACGGGGAATTACCTCAACATTATTATTATTTTCAAATTCTTTATCCAGACATTTGAGACCCTGGAAAGGTTCCCTTGTTCAGAATTCAGTTCACCTGGAGCCAGGAACATGGGAAAGAAACCATGATACACTAATTTGGGAGTCTAGCATCAGAACGGGAAAACTCGCCCCAGGCGTCTCTCCCCGGCTGACTCGCTGCACTCAAGTTGCCAACTGACAATTCAACATGGGATAATTCCAGAAAGGGACAAGCAGAATTTCAGCTTTGAGGACTTCTAACTTGAGAAGGTTCAAACCTAAAGCAAGACAAGGTCAGAGGTGGTATTGAGCAGGTTCTGACCAGTTCTGGAGAACCGGGAGCGGAAATTTTGAGTAGTTCAGAGAACCAGCCAATCCCACCTCTGACTGGCCCCACTAACCCCATCTATTCTCTGCCTCCCATTGAGTCCCAGCTGATTGGCTGGGTCTTCTTTGGTGGCCCTGCACAGGAGAACGGAGCTGGAAAGCAGGTTAGTGGGGTGGGGAGGGAAGGGGGATTTTACAGTAACCTTCAGTGGTGGGATTCAAAAAAATTTACTACTGGTTTTATGGGCGTGGCTTGGTGGGCATGGCTTGGTGGGCATGGCTGTGGCAGGGGAAAGATACTGCAAAATCTCCATTCCCTCCCCATCCCACTAACCTGCTTTCCAGCTCCATTCTCCTGTGCAGGGCAACCAAAGAAGACACATCTGATCAGCTGGGACTCAGGAGGCAGAGAATAGATGGGGTTGGTGGGGCCAGTCAGAGGTGGGATTTGCCGGTTCTCCGAACTACTCAAAATTTCCGCTACCAGTTCTCCAGAAGTGGTCAGAACTGGATTAATACCACTTCTGGTATCCTTCCCCTGCCATGCCCACCAAGCCATGCCCACCAAGCCACACCACACCCACCAAGCCATGCCCACAGAACCAGTAGTAATTTTTTTTGAATCCCAAGGCCCACTGCAATTCACTTGTCTTTCTCTGGAGTTATCCCATTTTTTTTTTATTTGTCAATTGCTTACAAGATAATAGGTATAAGTAAAAACATAGTTATGAATACTTGGATACATATAAGAAAAATAAAAAAAATATATAAAAGAAACAATAGGACAGGGACGGTAGGCACGTTGGTGCGCTTATGCACGCCCCCTACAGACCTCTTATGAAAGGGGTGAGGTTAATAGTAGACAGTCTAAGGTTAAAGTTTTTAGAGTTTGGGAAGAAACCACAGAGTCAGGTAGAGTATTCCAGACATTGACCACTCTGTTGCTGAAGTTGTATTTCCTGCAATCAAGTTTGGTGCGGTTAACGTTGAGTTTGTATCTATTGTTTGCTCTTGTGTTGTTATGGTTGAAGCTGAAGTATTCATTTGCAGGTAGGACATTGCAATGTATGATTTTATATACTATACTTAGATCGGACCGAAGGCGGCATAGTTCTAGGTTTTCTAGGACTAGAATTTCGAGTCTGGTGGCATAAGGTATTCTGCAACGAGTAGAGGAGTGGAGAACTCTTCTTGTGAAATATTTCTGGACTTTCTCAACTGTGTTAATACGTAATGTGGGTTCCAGACTGATGAGCTGTATTCAAGTATTGGTCTAGCAAATGTTTTGTATGCTCTAGTTAGTAGTGTAATATTACCAGAGAAAAAGTTACATAAGATTAGGTTAACAACTCTTAATGCCTATGGCTATGTAGTTACAGTGGGCTCTAGCACTTAGGTCATTTGAGATGAGTACTCCAAGATCCTTGACAGAGTTTGGATCATCAACAAGGTCTTGACTATTCAGCCTGTATTTTATTTTCTGATATATTTTTTTTGCCAATATGTAGGACAGAGCATTTATTTGTTGAGATTTGAAGTTGCCATTTGTTTGACCATTCTGATGCATAGTCAAGGTCTTTTTGAAGGGTAGCAGTATTGTCTGTGGTGTTGAATAGCTTTACATCATCAGTGAAAAAAACGCAGTTGCTCTTGATATGATCACAGAGGTCATTTATGTAGAGTATGAAAAGAGTTGGTCCTAAAACACTGCCTTGGGGGAAACCACTGTTGACAGGTACATAATTTGATAGGACACTCCCAATTTTGACCATTTGTTGTCTGTTTGACAGGAATGCTTCTATCCAGTTATGCAGGTGTCCAGAGATACCGTAAGATTTTAGTTTTAGGAGTAATTTGTCGTGTACCACTGAATCAAATGCTTTACAGAAGTCTATATAGATTGCATCTATTGCTTTTCCCTGATTGAGTTGTGTAGTCCATATGTTTTTGCAGTGTAAGAGTTGCAGATTACAGGATTTTTTTTTTCTGAAACCAAATTGTTTATTAGAGAGTAGGTTGTTTGTTTCTAAGTGGAGGATGATGGATTGATTAATAATTGATTCCATGACTTTACAGGTGACGCAGCATAAGGAGATTGGTCTGTAATTTTCAACTAGGCTGGGGGTCTCCCTTTTTGAAGATGCGGATCACCGTGGCTTGTGACCATAGTTATGGCAAGGAGCCGGTCCTGAAAGATTTTTCAAAGATTATGCTTAGAGGTTTGGCTATGGCAGTGGATAGCTTTTTTAAGAAGTATGCACATATTCCGTCTGGTCCAATAGATAGAGATGGTTTTTGATTGCATTGTACTTTTTCAACATTGTCTTCTGTAAAATAGATATGTATTAGATCATTGTAGTTGTCTGTGGTTCGACTAGGAAATACTGGGCATGATCCATTGCTGTTTACAAATACTGAGCCAAAGAACGTGTTAAAGAGGTTGGCTTTAATGGTGTCGTCGTTGCAGTCTTTACCATTAGGTCCTTTCAGGGGTGGGATGGACCTTGAGTCTTTCAGTTTGTTGTTTACAAAATTGTAAAAAGTGCGAGTGGAATTTGTGCGTAAAAGTTTTTCCTCTTGTTTAATGTGATAATTGGTGCATTCAGTCTTTATCTGGTGGCATAAATTTTTGTATCGGCTTTTGAAGTTGGCAACGTGACCAGATTTGTTTTTCCGCCAAAGTGATTTCTTTTTGGATTGAAGCTTCCTTATTGTTTTGGGTAATTTGTTTTTTCTGGTTTTGGGAGTTGTTAATGGTACATATAGTTTGATGACTCTTTTGACTTCAAGTAAAAATATGTTGTAATGGTCTTCTACAGTATTGCATCCAGAGAATAGAAATTGCCAATCAAGGGATGAGAGATCGTTGTTTATAAGATCATAGCTGCCTTTTTTGAAGTTATAATTGGGGATTCCATCGTTGTGATGATTTTTGTGTGGACGTATGTTGAGACAAAAGTCAATCGTAAACAGGACAAAACTCACTTTAAAAATGTCTCACTTAGCAACTGAAATTTTGGGCTCAGTCGGGATCGTAAGTCGAGGACTACCAGCATACAGTAAATCATGGCTCAGATCTGTGTGACATGAACCTAAACTCAGATTGGTGCAGGATTGTCATATGCCCTGAGATGTTGATCCACCCCATCAGCATGATTTCCTCCATTGTAAAGAGATTGTTTCAACTTCTTAGAAAGATTTTTTTTTTTATTACCTACTCTGTGACTCCCTTAGTTGTGGGTTGTATTGGGCGCGAAGAATCAGGATCATTTGCTAAGTTGATTTATTGTTCCTGCCTCCGCACAAGAATCTGGTCAACTAACAGTCAGCACTTAATTGGCAGCAGATAAGAATTAACAGAGTTCAAGAAAGGTCGGCCTTAGACTGCTGGTGAGAGTGTAATGATTCTAGGCTGATGACTCTCTTGACTCCACCCATAGGGCCTGCCCTTTTTCTCCTACAGGTTGGTCGGCTATTGCTACCTTAAGCTTGGTTCATTTCAGTGGTGGTGTTCAAATTTTTTTTACTACCGGTTCTGTGGGCGTGGCTTGGCAGGAGTGTGTGGCTTGGTGGGCGTGGCAGGGGAAGGATACTGCAAAATCCCCATTCCCTCCCCATTCCACTAACCTGCTTTCCAGCTCTGTTGTCCTGTGCAGGGCAACAAAAGAAGATCCAGCCGATCAGCTGGGACTCGGGAGGCAGAGAATAGATGGGGGCGGAGCCAGTCAGAGATGGTACTTGCTGGTTCTCTGAACCACTCAAACTTTCCGCTAACGGTTCTCCAGAACTGGTCAGAACTGGCAGAATACCTCCTCTCTTTCATTTCTACTTTTCCGCTTGCTGGAATTTTGGCGGTTCTCCAAATGCTTACCTGTTCAATGTCATCATCCTCATAGCTTTCAGAATCATTTGAGTCTTCCGATTCCAGAGATGGACTGGGTCCTAAGTTTTTCTGGGTTCCAGGTGACTTGCCGGCGGATTTTGAATTTGTCTGTTGTCCTCCTTGGGAGACATTGATTGTGGAACCACTCCTGATCAGTGGGCCACCTTCAGAGGCAGTATAGTCCAAAGTTTTTCTTCGCTTTGGGACTAGCACCGAGAGAATCTAAGTTGAGAAGGAGACACGAAAAGGATATATGTGACTTAGAATCAGATCTTTTCTAGAACCAGATTCTCAATCCAGTTATGCAGGGGTGGGATTCTACAGGTTCGCACCTATTCACTTGAATCGGTTGTTAACATTCTAAGCAGTTCGGACAACCGGTTGTTAGAAGAAATTACTGGCCTAATCCTGTAAGGAAGGCAGGAAGGAAACATTCTGGTGTTGCTTACAGAAACTGCCTCTCCGTTAACCCTTATTACATTCTTGGCAGGACTAGACTTCCTGTCTCAGGAACTTCTCTGGAGTTCTTTTCCCCTCCTTTGCTGGTACTTTGCTTGCATAGAGTGACCATTCAAAGTTACAATGGCATTGAAAAAAGTGACTTATGACCATTTTTCACACTTATGACTGTTGCAGCATCCCCACAGTCATGAGAGGCCAAGCGAGGAGATGCGTGCCTCGATGTGAGTGATGTTGAGTTGACCTCGCCCAGCCAGTCACATGACCACCAAGCCATGCCCACCAACTAAGCCACGCCCACAGAACCAGTTGTTAAAAATTTGAATCCCACAACTGCAGTTATGGAATTGGAAAGAACAAAGTGAGTCATCTTGGAATGTCTCTTTTCAATCTTGTGCTCAGTTCCGATCACTACAACACAAAAAGGACACATGAAAAATTTCTAGCTGCTCACAAATGTTTACCAATGTTTTGTAAATTGAATACAAGATCAGCATTCTCCATAGAAATCTTCCGTAGTAAAACTATGAAATTGCATTTTGCTTAGCAAATTTAAAAGAAGTGGTTCTTTTGTGAATTCTAAATAATACTTCAATGTCCTTTTAAAGTATATCAAATCTAAAATATATAATTTTCTTGCTGGTAACCGGGTTGGGTCAGAACAATTATCCTGTACTGTCTGCTAGATGGTAGTAGTTAAAAAAAAAGGGGGTGCCCAGGATGAGATGGATCTTTGAGAATATTTAGGACTTTCTTAAGGCAGTGGGAGCTATAAAGCTCTTCCAAAGAGGGGAGAGGGCAACCCATGATCCTCTGGGCAATGACATTAACCCTCTGGAGTGCTTTCCTATCTGCCCCTGTGCAATTGGCAAACTATACAGAGGTGCAGTATGTTAAGATACTCTCTATGGTGCAGCGGTAGAAGGTCACCAAGAGTTTTTCATCCAGTTGTTGTTTCCTGAGAAGTCTCAGGTAGTATAATCTCTGCTGGGCCCTTTTGACCAGGGCTGCAATGTGAGCACCTCAGGTCAGGTCCTCTTTTAGGGAAACTTACAACTTAAAACTGGACACTTTCTCCACTCGGTCTCCATTGATAAGCAAGGGATGGATGTCTGATCTGTTCCTTCTACAGTCCACTATAAGCTCCTTGGTCTTATTGGTGTTGAGGACCAAGTTCTGCTCTGCCACAAACAAAAGCAAGTTCTCTTCTAATGCCATACCTTACATCTCTCAACTTTGGCTAGCCGTTCCAAATCGGTCTTATCAGATATGCCTCCATGTACAATCAGGACCTTCCTGTCAATCACAGTTGCCAAGGGGATGCTGCTAAAAATGTTCTTGATCACCGCCAGGAGTCTGTGGGCATGATCCTAGGAGGAATAGGAGCAGAGTGCAAAAACTGTGATGGACAGTCTGGGGTCACCCGACAACACAGAAGACGCAACAGGTAGGCAAACTGGAGTACCTTATATTTCCGTGTGACTTCTTTGGTGAACCCGTAGCTAGAGGCAGAAGAGAAGGGAAGGTTTTAAATAGATGCCTCGGAAGGAGAGCAAAACAACAACAATGACAATATTAAAAGTGGCACAGGTAGTCCTCAACTTACAATGGTTCATTTAGTGATGGTTCAAATTTTTGAAAAATATGACTCATAACCATTTTTCATAGTTACAACCTTTGTAACATCCCCATGATCACGTGACCAAAATTCAGATGCTTGACAACTGACTCATATTTATGACCTTTGCTGTGTCCTGTGGTCATTTGATCCCCTTTTGTGACCTTCTGACAAGCAAAGTCAATGGGAAAGCCAGATTCACTTAGCAATGGGGGTTACTATCTTACACACTGAAGTGATTCACTGGACACTGTGACAAGAAAAGTTGTAATGCACCACATAGAGCAAATAAAGAGGACAGTCACCATGTGTTTTACTGCTCAACTGTGTTATTGTAACAGGAAACCAGAAACTTTCCTCAGAAAATAAAGAAACCATGGATAATAACCATAGATGCACACGAAACACTGCCATCTACTGGCTGAATAATTATGTAGTTGTTGCAATACAAAATACATTCTAACATATATTCCAACACTTTCACAGTAACTTTCTTGGCCAGGGCTCAAGAACCAGGGCTCAAGAACACAGTGACTAAATTAGTAGACACAGTGACTAAATTAGTAGACCAGCAAAATACTGTAGACATAATATATTTAGATTTCAGAAAGGTATTCGACAAAGTAGACCACAACCTACTTCTTAGTAAGCTAGAAAAAAGTGGAATAGATAGCACCACCACTAGATGGACTTGTAACTGGCTGGCAAACCATACTGAATGAGTAGTCCTTAATGGGTCTAAGTCTACATGGAGGGAAGTAAGCAGTGGGGTGCCACAAGGTTCTGTCTTAGGCCCAGTACTCTTCAATATCTTTATTAACGACTTAGATGAGGGAACAGAAGGGGAACCTACCAAATTTGCAGATGATACTAAGCTGGCAGGAATAGCTAACACCCAAGAAGATAGGCTCAAGATCCAGATGGATCTTGACAGACTAGAACACTGGGCCATATCTAACAAAATGAAATTCAATGTAGAGAAAAGTAAAGTCCTACACTTAGGCAAGAAAAACCAAAAGTACACATAGATTGGGTGAAACCAGGCTCAATAGCGGTAACTGTGAGAGGGATCTTGGAGTCTTAGTGGACAACCAGCTAAATATGAGCCAGCAGTGTGCAGCAGCAGCCAAAAAAGCTAATGCAATCCTAAATTGTATTAACAGAGGGACACAATCAAGATCAAGGGAAGTACTAATACCACGCTGTAAAGTACTAATACCACGCTGTAAAGCCTTAGTAAGACCACACCTAGAGTACTGCCTCCAGTTTTGTTCACCACACTATAAAAAAGATGTTGAGACTCTAGAAAAAGTACAGAGAAGAGCAACCAGGATGATTAGGGGACTGGAGGCTAAAACATACCATGAACAGTTGCAGGAACTGGGCTTGGCTAGTCTACTAAAGAGAAGGACCAGGGGAGACATGATAGCGGTCTTCCAATATTTGAGGGGCTACCACAGGGAGGAAGGGTTCAAGCTATTTTCTAAAGCGCATGTAGGCTAGACAAGGAATAATGGATGGAAACTGAACAAGGAGAGATTTAACCTGGAAATAAGGAGAAACTTTCTGACAGTGAGAACAATCAACCAATGGAAGAGAAGTTACCCTCGGAAGTTGTGGGAGCTTCATCACTTGAGACTTTCAAGAAGAGATTGGACTGCCATTTGTCAGAAATGGTGTAGGGTCTCCCGCTTGGGCAGGGGGTTGGACTAGATGACCTACAAGGTCCCTTCCAACTCTGATTATCTGTTATCTGTTACCACTTAGCTTGCTAACAGTTCATCCAGGTTATTTCCTATAGCTTTTACAGGTAGTCCTCAACTTATAACAGTTTGTTTACTGACTGTTCAAAGTTTATGAATATATATATATATATACACACACACACACACACACACACACACACACACACACACACACTCACTCGCAGTACCTCTGGGTGACTTACAAAGCTAAATAAAATAAAAATAGAGAGCCGTGCACCCCTATGCTTCTACAAATGTTTTGGATTCCATACCGGAAATTGATCATGTAGTCCTCGTGGTTTCCTCGATTCAGGTGGACCTCTTTGGGGTAAATCAAGAGGAAAATAAAGATAATGATCAGGATCTCAATGGAATGCGTGCCTCGGTCAACAAAGTCCCCATTGAAGACATACAACTTCTGCGGAGAAGGAAGTCCGTTCTGTAAGGAAGAAATAGATCCCTAAAATTAAACTTCAGTAGGACGGCAAGATGAGGAGACAAGCCCCCAAGTGAGACTCAATTGGTGGGGCCCTTGGTGATCTTTGAGCCTGATATTTACCTGCAGACGTTTCATGGTCTAACTATGTAACATCATCAGTGCCAGAAGAGAGTGGGGTTTCCTCCCTGTTTATGTACTAGTGCAGGGTGTCTGTTCTATCGCCAGGACAAAGCAGACTCGAATACCGGAGTTGAAATCAGCTCTTTATTAGCAACCAGTAACTTCAACTGAAGTCGAGCCATGGCAGCGCTTTTTATAGCGGCTGCTCGCGGCTCGCAACCAATGGCATGTGTTTAAACTTCCCGCCGCTTATTGCGGCCAATCGGAACCTGTTGTTCTTAACCAATCATTACGCTGTGTTAACTAACCAATAGGAATGTAGTATTAGAAGTCTATATTTGAATACACTACAGTGTCAAACTCAATTTCACTGAGGACCGCATAAGGGCCATGGTTGACCTCGGAGGGGCCGGGTGGGCATGGCTGACTGGGTGGGTGTGGCCAGCTTGATGCCACCTCCCAAATTTTTGGCATGTTTCTTCTTCTCATTGGATAGACGGGCCGAAGCCATGTGGATCGGCCCCTTACATTTTCCAGGATGGCCCCACGGGCCGGATCCGATCCTATTTTGTGCCGGATGCAGCCCGCAGGCCTTGTGTTTGACACCCCCTGTACCAGGGGTGGGATTCTACCAGTTCTGACCGGTTCTATAGAACCAGTTGTTATGATTCTGTGCAAATCATGCCCCTGGCTGGTCCCACCCCTCTTTGCCCATCCCTTCCCCCCCTGCCCAGTTAGTCCTTATCACGCATGCGCAGCATCGCACACATGCCCGACATCGCTGACTGCATTTCCCCCCTTCCAGTCACTCCTTAAGGCATTTCTTTTTCCCCCGCTCCCGATGATCAGCTGTTCCTATAATCAGCTGTGCCAGGATTCCCCTCACAGTTTTACTGCTTCACCCCACTCCATTTTTTGCCTTCTTGGGCCCCAGGGAAGCTTACCGGGAGCAAAAACACGCCCCCAGGAGGCTTCCCCGAGGTCCAGAAGTGCCCCCCAAAGCCACACCCACCCAGTCACATGGCCACACCCACTTAGCCAGGCCCACCTAGCCACACCCACAGAACCAGTTGTTAAAAAATTTGAATCCCACCCCTGCCCTGTACTCGTGGCTTCTCCTGTCAGTATTGGCAGCAGTGTCCTTCACTCCGCCAACATCGACCGAGCGAGCCAATTAACACTGGCGGACAGTACTTTTGTACAGGGAGTCCTCAACTTACAACAGTTCGTTTAGTGAACATTCTAATTTACAACGGCACTGAAAAAAAGTGACCTGTGGCCTTTTTTTTTGCAAACTCACAACCATTGCAGCATCCTCCATGGTCATGTGATCAAAATTCGGACGCTTGCCAACGGACTCATATTTATGACGGTTGCAGTGTCCTGGGGTCACGTGATCTGCTTTTGCGACCTTCTGACAAGCAAAGTCAAATGGGGGAATCCAGATTCACTTAACGACCGTGTTTACTGACTTAACAGTTGCAATGATTCACTTAGCAGCTGTGGCAAGAAAGGTCATAAAATGGGGCAAAGCTCACTAACAAGTGTCTCCCTTAGCAACATAAATGTTGGGCTCAATTGTGGTCGTAAGTCAAGGTCTACCTGTACTTTCAGACTTGCAAGATTTGATGTTGGCCTTTTCTGGTAAATCAGACAGGAACTATAACTAGATCAAATAAATTTACTTTATTGAAAGGCTACATTAACAGAATCTTGCAGGTCTCCAAAGGCAAACTTCCTTCCCACCACTTTTTAACTGCTAGATTCATTAGTAGAGGTCCTTCTTAAATTTCTTCCTCTGGCCCTTAAGTGACCAAGGGCTCCCTTCTCTCTTATCTGACGATATGTTAGGCCGTCTCTCCTTTTCCCTTAAGATTATCCACGCATTCCATTACAAATGGTGACTAGTGTATGGGATATTAGGATGAGCTCATAGAGGTTGTGAGAATCAAGGGTATAGCTTGTGGATCTATTAGATTCAATAACTCCTATGGGTGATAGCTGGCCCCAGAAGAAAGAGACGTGAAACAACTAGGATGGTTTCAAAATATACCAGAACTATTTGTAGTCCTGCTGAGCCATTGCTAACCGTGAAAACATATTTTTGCAAAGTACACACTTGGACGGTTAAGTTTAAAACAGGAAGAATGAAACTGTTGGAAATGAGGAACTGAAAGTAATGTACACAGGTGTTTAAGGAAAGTGACAGTGAAGCTGTGAAGCGTGTATGTGGTTAGAAGAAAAGCATAAAGGATAGGATTGGAGATCAGCTCGGGGCCCTTTGATTTATGGCCGTCCTTGCAGAACCTGCTGTATGTCATTGGACCCCATTGCAATGGCTTATTAATATAAGTGTATTGCTGCTACTATATCTTTTATATCTATTCATTTCTTATGTTCCAAATTATTAGAAACAATAAATCTCTGATCTTAAAGTAAGAATTTTTGTCTGTTTCCTATTGATATTTTTTTATGACAAGGTGTTGGGAGAAATCTCCATCTGGTTCAATTCCAAGCTGGGAGAAAGACACTGGAAACACTGAGGGTGATTGGAAAGATGGTTTAATGATGAAGCAGAACCACAAAGCACATGGGCTCTGGGTAGCTGACCACATGGAGTTGAGAGTGAGGGATTTTTTTTATACCTTCTCTTAGGCTTTGCACTTGAGCTTCCTGTTCCTGTGCAAGAACATGCATTCTATTGGCTGTTGTCAGACTCCCATGGGGCCATGTGGGGTCATGTTTGTCTGAGATAAGTTTGGTTGAAGTTTGCTGGGTGATGCAATGTCCTTAGGAGATTGTGCAATGCAGTGCGCTCTGCAGCTAGATAATCCTATTATGTCCTGGAGGGCCATGTCTTAATCCCTTCACCCTGGAGCTGAAGGTCTTTTGTTTTGTAGATAATGAATCTCAATGAACACAAAAATCTGCTGTGGGGAGAGAAATTGAGTCTGCTTCCTGCCTCTAAAAAAACATGTTTTTCCACTTCTCATTTAGGGAAATATAATACTCTGCCTTTTTAAATATTCCTCAAAATATTTCATTCTTCCCTTTCTACAGAGGGAAGGCTTAAAATCCTGGACAATTTTTGTTCAGTGAAAAAAATGGGGTGCAGATGAGAAACACTCATGTAAATGCACAAACCAATGTAGGTGTGTAAGAAAAGAAAAAAAATAAGAGAAAATAACTCTCTGTTGAAGCTAACACACTTCAAAGTGAAATGCTGTGGAAGAACCAGATTTTTTAAAAAATGGCCGTTTTGATTCTTTTTCATTTGCCTAAAAAGATTATTTTTCTTTTTTTTCCAAAGAGAAAAAAATTGGCCAAAACAGATTCACTGATGCCAAGGAATGTTGTGTGTTTTATTGCTTCACCGAAGCAAAATCTAACAACCAGCAAAATGTGTAATTACTTTCTTATACACTGGCTAGGAAGAGTTACCGTGTCTTTTCTTGCATGGAAAATTAGAATTAAGGGTATTTTTTAAAAAAAACAAAGGTTAGTTTATTTCAATTGCTTTTGACATATTGTGATCCAAGCTCTCTGCTTACCTTGTAAAATATGTGAAACAAGTCGAATATTTGCCCATGTAAGTCTCCTAAATAAAAGAAAGGGAGAACGTGTTATCTCAGTGAAAGAATTTGATAGAATCCTAGAATATGGAAATTGGAAAGCATCTTTAAAGTCAATTTAATCCAGCTCCTTGCATAGTGCAGGAGGAATATCACACAGGGCATTCCTGATCTTGAGAGAAGACTAAAGAATGAACACAGGGGTGGGATTCTCCCGGTTCACACCGGTTTAGGCGAACCGGTTCGCTCCGACAATCAATGCTCGCCCCTGTGCTGAACTTACCTATATCCTCACAGCTGATTCACGGCAGAGCGGATTGCTGCTCCTCAGCTGTGTTACTCCCCAGTAGTAACATAGCAGGTATATTTTTTCGGAAAGCTGTTCACGTGCACAGCGAAGCATGCAATCACTGAACCGGTTGTTACACCAGCCGCATCCCACCACTGAGTCAACATCCCATAATATTTCCTTATTGCTGCCAAGAAAACATGGACAGGTCAGGACTTAAATTACATTTAAGTCCTTGATTTACAACAGTTCCTTTAGCGGCCGTTCGAAGTTAAAACGACCTAAAAATGTGGCTTATGACCGTTTTTCACCCTTATGACTATTGCAGCATCCCCAAGGTCACATGATCCAAATTCAGACACTTGGCAACTGATTCATATTTATGACGGTTGCCGTGTCCTGGGGTCATATGATCCCCTTTTGCAAACTTCTCACCAGCAAAGTCAATGGGGAAGCCAGATTCACTTAACAACTGGGTTTCTAACTCAACAGCTGCAAGGATTCACTTAACAATTGTGGCAAGAAAGGTCGTAAAATGAGACAAAACTCACTTCACATCTGTCTCACTTAGCAACAGGTTCAATTGCAGTCGTAAGTTGAGGACTATCTATAAACTCCTGGAAGGTATAACCTCTGGTACACCATTTACCATCATAGCAGGTAGTGGTACATAGTCAATCTTGGCTGGACTGTTGAATCTCTGTGCCTGCTAATTTTAAAGTTTTGAGTAATGGTCGCACTGAAGCCTCCTATCCCTCATTTAAGAGGCAAAACTTCACTGCATGTTGCAACGGTTTAGAGCAGGGATATCCCCAACCTTGGCAACTTTAAGAGTGGTGGACTTCATCTCCCAGAATTCCTCAGCCAGCCATTCTGTGAGTTGAAGTCCACCAGTCTTAAAGTTGCCAAGGTTGGATATCCCTCATTTAGACCTTTACACAAATATTTATATTTATGTTTATATATTTATATATTTATAATTATATATATTTTATTTATTCTCTCTCTTATCTATCTATCTATCTATCTATCTATCTATCTATCTATCCATCTATCTATCATCAATAGATAAATATTTATTTTTATTTTTAGTCTCTCTCATCTATCTATCTATATCTATTTATCTATCTATATTTTATCTATTTGTCCATCTATCTCTATTATATCTATCTATTTATATTTATCTATCTCTATTTATCTCTATTTGTCTGTCTGTATGTCTGTCTATCTATCTATCTATCTATCTATCTATCTATCTATCTATCTATCTATCTATCTATCTATCTATTTATCTCTATTTTATCTTTGTCTATCTTTTTTATCTGTCTATCTCTATTTATATCTATCTATCTCTATCTGTCCGTCTGTCTACCTACCTACCTACCTACCTATCTACCTACCTACCTACCTACCTACCTACCTACCAGTATCTCTATTTATTGATCTATCATCTATATCTATCATCTATCAATATTTATATTTATTTTATTTATTTTCTCTCTCTCATCTATCTAGCATCTATAAATATTTATACTTATTTTTATTATCTATCTATCCATCCATCCATCTCTCTCTCTCTCTCAATCGTCCAACTATATCTGTCTAATCTATCTATTAAATTTATATGCCACCCATCCATGGGGACCAGGTTTCCTTTGCTGGGCCCATGACTGACTGCTATTCTCTTTCTTGCAACTTTGCCAAGGGCTCCACCTCCGCCTTTTTTACAAAAGGTAGACTTACCACACACAGTGATCTCCTCACTGTAGCAGGTAGAAATTCTGTTGATGTTTGGCAGCTGGCTGAGATGCTGTTCCACCTCTTGGAAGAGTTTTAGTACATAGTAAGGATGAAGCTGCTACTGGGAATAAAGGGACAAAAATTAGAAAAGGCATTTGGACAGAATTTGAGCATTGCCCTTCATTTAGAGATAGTCCTCGAATTACAACCACACCTGAGCCCAACATTTGTGTTGCTAAGCGAGGCATTTGTTAAGTGAGATTCGCCACATTTTTAAAAATTTTATTATTAAATTTTATTTAGTTTTCAAAATTTAAAAACATGAAATAAAACTTTATACATCACTATATCAACATCAAGACATCTTTTACACTTCCTTATCATCTTTCTATATATACGTGTTATGGCTCCCCCTTCAAAGTTCAAACAACACAAAACCAAAAGCAGCCGTTCCAAAACTTAAGTCCAAAAGAAAGGAGTTTAACAAGATAACGACTGTCATCAATTATATACACGCCCTGTTCAGCAAAACAGTTCTGGCACAAATCCTCAAAGCTCCGAGCCTCTGCTGTAAACCTCATCACGCCAACAGACACTTTGTTCCTGACAATCTTTCCTCCCACAGCTGTGTCTTTTTATAGTCCTTGAGGCAACGTACTAATTACTGAGTTTGCCTCCGTAAAACACCTAGATGGTCGTGTCAATCTCCCTAAATCAACGTCTGGCTTGATGCCTCCCCACAGCTTGACGTTTTAGCCTCCTTCTAGTTCTGGCATCAAGCCACGATCTGTCTGTTTCTTCGCTCGATTCTTCTAACTCATGTTGTGCTTCAATTTAAGGCATGAATGAGGTCGAGGGTTCAGGTGAAGAATGTCTGTGTGATAACCTCTCATCCCCCTGGCTCACATCTGTGTCTACTAACAATTCAGACTCCAAATTCTCAGCAGGCTCCAGCCTTTCATCCTCAGAGTCATCAGAATCAAAACTTACAGCAGGATCGATCCTTTCAGTCACAACATATACGTTTCTTTCATTATACAATTTCAACTTAATATATAAATAGATATAAGATACGAATATAGATATAAGTATTTATATGCAGTAGTTTCTTATTCTTTACCTAATTTTCATTTTGATTTATTTTTGTTCTTAAACCATTCACACCAGACATTTGTTGTGGTTAGCCGGCAGCAGGTGCGGACGGCTGAGGAGAGCGAGGACTCAGATGAGGCCAGCCCCCACAATCTCTGAAGGCAGCAGTCCACTCCCTAATGGTCTTGGCCCCTCATCTGAGTCCTCGCTCTCCTCAGCCGTCCGCACCTGCTGCCGG